GAAGTTTTCTCATCCGACAGTTCAAATAGTGGGGACCCTAGTGCTTTTAATATGCCTCAGCATCCTGCACAGGTGATTTTAGTAGGAAAAACTAATAATCCATACAATGATGCAAGGAATGTGCAATTCAGACGTTTTCTTACTTTTAAGTTTCAATAGTTTTAGTTTTTTACTCTACATGGAAGCTCATACCATTGCCTTCATTATTGCTTTACAGCTTCAGTTCGGATCTAACGGCATGCTTGATGATTGGGAGGAGAATTTGGCTGTAATAACTGCGAACAGAACCAAAGATGATGAGCTTGTAATTATTCATCTTGGTGATTGCTTGTGGAAGGAAAGAAGTGAGGTATAGTTCTCAATATTTTCTGCTCCTTATTATTTTTATTTAGATTTTTATTCCCCTTCTGATTTGAAACTCATATTTTAGATCACTGCTGCACACATCTGCTATTTAGTTGCTGAAGCAAACTTTGAGTCATACTCAGACAGTGCAAGGCTTTGTCTGATAGGAGCTGATCACTGGAAATTTCCACGAACTTACGCTAGTCCAGAGGCCATCCAGGTTTATTGAAACTCTCTACCTCTTTTGCTCTTCGACATAAATTGATTGTTCTATTGCTTGTGTATTTTCTGAGTCCAATTTTCACAAAATGTGGTGTGCTACTCTGTTCTACTTGTTGTTAATGCCTCTGTCTGACTCGTTATTGGGGCATTATCTGGTTTCTAGGTTCTTAATTTTCTGGGATTTTAGAAGTTCATATTTGAATCTTTCTTATTTTCTACTTATCTGTATACATGCTTAAGAAGATGGCATGTACTCTCTCAATTACCTTATATATGATCCTAGGTTTACCAACATATGTGGGATTTTTAAACCTCGTGTTCCGTAAGGTTTTTAAATGACCCCTCTATTGTGTGACAGGCCATATCTAATTAAATATTATGTCCAATATGATTCAATTTTTTGTAAGATGTGTTATTGGAAACACTCAAAACTTATCATATCCAATGGTTTCTTGGACAGAGGACTGAGTTATATGAATATTCGAAGGTGCTTGGAAACTCTCAGTTTATTTTGCTTCCGTTTCAGCCATATAAAATTATATATGCATATATGCTAGCTGAAGTGGGAAAGGTTTCAGACTCGTTGAAGTAAGATCATCAAATATTATTTTGTGATATTATGCTTTAGGTAATCTTTCTAATTGTTGTTACGTGACTTCAGGTACTGCCAAGCAGTGCTGAAATCCTTAAAAACTGGCCGCGCACCAGAAGTTGAAACATGGAAACAAATGATATCCACTCTTGAGGAGAGGATTAGAACCCACCAACAGGTTCTTTCTTGTCATTTATCGAGTCTTCATTATTTTGTTAGGCTTGTTACTTATCCTCTTTTAAACAATATATATTCAGGGTGGGTATGCTGCAAATTTGGCTCCTGGCAAATTAGTGGGTAAATTGCTGAACTTTTTTGATAGTACCGCACATCGAGTCGTTGGTGGTTTGCCACCACCTGCTCCATCACCATCACAAGGAACTGTTCATGGAAATGAACATAATTATCAACCTGTGGCACATAGAGTGTCCAATAGCCAATCAACAATGGCAATGTCATCCTTAGTTCCATCTGATTCAATGGAACCCATCAGTGAGTGGACAGCTGACAATAATAGAATGACAAAACCTAATAGAAGTGTTTCAGAACCAGACTTTGGTAGAACTCCCCGACAGGTGTGTGATTACTATTAAGGCCTTAAGAGTGTCCTGAACTTTAAAAGTTTCCAGATTCATGCATTTGGTTAAGTTTTAATTTATTCTATTTTTGTTAAAATTAAAATTTGATCAATTCATCACAGGAAACCTCACATGACGTACAAGGAAAAGCGTCAGGGGGCACATCTCGCTTTTCTCGTTTTAGTTTTGGCTCACAACTTTTGCAAAAGACAATGGGTCTAGTCTTAAAACCTCGCCCTGGAAAACAGGTATTTATTAGTTCCTTTATATTGTTTTGTTTCCATTTTTCCTTCAACTGTTCAATTCAAAGGTATATCTGTTGTCCTATATGAAGGCTAAATTGGGTGAAAAGAACAAGTTTTATTATGATGAAAACTTGAAAAGATGGGTAGAGGAAGGCACTGCACCTCCAGCTGAAGAAACTGCACTGCCACCACCTCCAACAAGTGCAGCTTTCCAGAATGGTTTAACTGATTACAACTTGAAATCTGCATTAAAGACAGAAGGGCCATCTAAAGAGGGCTCTGACTTAAAAACTTCAAATCCTGAAATTTCTCCAGGGATCCCACCTATACCACCTAGCACAAATCATTTCTCTGCTCGTGGCCGCGTCGGTGTTCGATCAAGGTAAGAAGTTACTTTATAACTTGTTAAAATCATGTTGTAGTTGGAACTTGGTAGGCGAAGTAGTTGTCCGTGTTCAAACATTGTATATTGGACCTCCCATAAGTTTCTTGGGAATCTTAATTTGTTAATCTTAGATTTTCATATTGGTATGAATACTTCAAAAAAATGTTCATGCAAAGCTAACATTCCTAGATGTGTTTTTTTAACCATGTTTAATGACATTATTTTCACAAGGATATGGGGTTCCAAGACTCCCGTGAAGGTAGGAAACTTCACATAAACTTTCTTCCTGTAAACTTGTCAGATATTCCAAGGAATATTTTTGGCATACTGAATACGATTTTACACATTTCTATGTATCATGATTATAAGAAATGACAAAAAAAAAACTCTTCCTGTCGAGCACTCTATTATAAAGCTGCAAGACTAGTCGTGCTCAAAAGTTATAACGAGCACAGCCTTAAGGCATAATTTATCTTTATCAGGACTGAGTAAGACTAAGTCTTGTTTCTAGGCCTCACTAAAATATGTACTGTGGAAATATTAAACATGAAAGCAAAGTAAATTAGGAGAGACCGTGCTGGCCTTTACATGCAGCCAGATCACCTTCCTCGAACAAGAGGATAAATTTCTTAATGATAATTAATTCTCTTGACTATCAACAACATTCAAAATGCAGATAAAATTGACCAACTTTTATGGACTATGCAGGTATGTTGACACCTTCAACCATGGTGGTGGAAATTCTGCAAACCTGTTTCAGTCACCATCTGTTCCATCTGCCAAACCTGCTGCTGCTGCCAATGCCAAGTTTTTTATTCCTTCCCCCTTGCCATCATCAAAAGAGAAGACAATGGAGGCTATAGACGAAAACAATCAGGAAGATAATTTAGCTTACGAAAATACTTCAACATCTTATACCGCATCACCAATTGTCTGGCAAAGGTGTCCAAGTATGGGCAACTTCGCAAACAATGAAGCAGTGGTGAATGCCATTAACAGTCGAACTCCTCACTCACGGCGAACAGCTTCATGGGGTGGGAGTACTGGCGAAACATTTAGTCCCACAAATATGCGTGAAACTATGCCTCTGGGGGAAGCTTTGGGAATGCCACCATCAACATATTTGTCTGACGATATTTTTGTGACGCGTACACCTCACATGAGGAGTGTGAGTTTTGGAGAAGATCTTCAGGAGGTTGATCTTTGAGCAGATGATTAAGCTGTAAATACCAAATTTTGTTTATAGTAATCACTCATCAGAGTAGTTGGGAAGCTCTGCATCATTCTTCTCATGCCCCGAATGCTGGTATACATCAGGAAGAAAAAGACATTTCCGTTGGCAGGTTTTTCGCCCCACCACTTGTTTTGCTTTAAATGGCAAGGGAGTTGGCATTGGCCACCATCTAAGGCTGGAGGTCAAGGAAGGAGCTGGGTTTTTTTTAGCAAGGGATATACCACGTATCTGTGTAGTACACTCATTTCTTCATTCTATTAAACAAGAAAACACTGTTCCTCTAGGAAAAGAGGCCTCAACATATCAAGGACAAAAAAGTAGTTTATAGAATGTGAAATATAAGTTTTGTCCCTCTTGTAATTGTTTCAGTTATGAAATGGAGTTTAATTTACAAACTAGAGTCTTCTCTCTTGATTTGAATTGAAGTGATAGTTTTGATATGAAGTTTTTTTACACTGTAATTTATATTTATAAGTATTTCATTGAAAGTTGTCTATGGTGATTTCTTAATAGACAAAATTACTCCACTCCAGTATCCTTTAAATTATTTTATTGTAATAAGTTAGTTTTTTATGTTTTTTTCGTTACAAATTAATCATTTATGTTAACAAACGTTTGCATCGTTGACCTTATTCACAAAATCTGTATCAGAAAAGCTGAGTTGGCACAAATGGTGTTAATGTGTAACTTAACTTTGCTGAGGTGACATTTTTGAGTCGGCACAAATGGTATTATAGTTAATAACATATATATATATATATATATATATATATATATATATTTACAGAATAAATTAACTTATTTAATTAAGTTTTTTTATTAATATATTTTGAAATTATCTGAGCTAAATTTTAAAATTTTAAAAGAACTTTAATGAGTTTAAAGTCAAATTTTTTATTACTTGACTACAGGCTACAAAAGCTCATTCTATATAAAGATTCAAATTTTATTCAGAGAAAACAATGTGGGACTTGCATTTTCTCTAAGTTAAAACCAAACAACAACTTTAACAAAACCAATTGATAACAGTAGGGTTAAAAATTGATCAGGCAATATGTGTCTGAATGAATCCAAGAAAGGCTTGGTCAGAATCTCTCCTTGCTCAGACTTTACATGCTGAAGTTCTTCCAGTGCAGGAGTGAAAACAGTCCCTCCATTTTCAGACTCTATCACAATCAGAACATATAACAAACAAATATATTAGCAACCCTTTATCACAACCCATTGAAGGCACAATGAGAAATAATCCAAAAATAAATAAATCATGAATAGGGAAGAAGAACTGGAAGAGAGGTGATGTTGCATGTGAAGCCCCAAGGATTATTCCTAAATTTGATATTGTTTCTAAGTTCAAGTACTCCAGTTCCTCTGAAACAACCGAATACATTGTGAGTCTCCCATGGAATGGAATGGAATGTTTCACAGGGATTATTCCTTGGAGTTTTTTGTTTTGTCGGGTAGTTCAAGATCTATGGTGAAACAGTGTGGAATTCGACCATTGTGTGTTCCATTTGACATCACGCAAAGCTTAAATGAAGAAGTAATAAGCAGAGAAGTTAAGAGAGCTTACCATGACTTTGAATACAACAGAGTTCCAAGGGAATACTGGCTTCTTCGCCACTATGCTCATCCTCTTGACTGCCTTGGATTTCCATCAAAACAACCAAGGATTTCTGAGTGTCATGATGGACAATTTGGGGAACCTATTCCACCACCTTATTGTGCTGATAGTGTTGATGAAATTCAAATGGAACACACCAGCATTGATGATATTCATGCTGAAGTATTTGTTTATTTTGGCCTTAATGGTAGTAACCACAACCAACCACGTGATTTGCGGCATTTAGCCCAACTGCTTCTGAATGAGTACTGCTACTTTGGTGAGAGCTTGCCCGCTGGAATATCTTTTAATTCATGACTGCAAGAGGCTGAGGTCTCTCTCGGAGCTTCCACTATCCCTTCAAACTTTGTTTGTTATTTACTGCACATCTCTGGAGACTGTTGAATTTTCTGAGGAATACATCATGCATGTTAATGTTAATAAAACTTTTAGCAATGAAATTTCCAGTAGGGTGATTGAAAAAGTATCGAGAATACAAGTTACTGACTCAGCAGTAAATGTCATAGACTGGTGGTCCATGGAAAAAACTGACCCTTCGATGGCAACACTGCGTTCAAGTTCAGGCCAAGGAAGCTGGTGAAAGACCCACATCGTTTTCTTTACATTTAATTTTAATGCTTATATAACTCACACAAATATAATTTACACTTTGATTATTGCAAGGATATTGGCCCAAGGCCCAATTCATTTCTTAAAAAAATTGTATTAATTAATTTTTATCTAAAGGCTCATGATACCACAAACACTTTTGAGAGAGACACACCACTTTGGGGGAAGATTGTTAGAAGCATTGATGCATAGTGTTAGAAGCATTGACACATCATTGCTGTTTGTGAATTAAAATAACATAGAAGCTTTCACTACTATTGAGAGATAATTGATATTTAATAAATAATCATCTAAGAAATCAATGACATAGTCTTCTTTCTAAACAATTTTTGAAAACTATTTTATATCAACTATCAACTATTCAAGTACTAATAGTGGTATGAGAGCTAAATTCGGTCATACATCGGGTATAATTATAATACATACCTATTATTCCAAAATTCTCCCAATTACTTCAAAAAATTCCCCTTGTACTATTAATACACTCTAATAATTTTTCTAAGCTATGGATAGCACCATTTAGTCATCATCTATTTGTGTCCATATTTTTAATGGTGAAATTATGATTTCTGGCGTGTTAAAATGAAAATATTTTTTTCATCTCAAAATTTATGAGATATAGTGGAAGAAGGCTTCACCGTTTTCGCTGATACTTCAACTCAAGAAAAGAGTTGAAGAAAAATTTAAAAGTGTTTTCACCTTGCAACAAGCGGTGACTGGTGCAATTTTTCCAAGAATTATGGGAGTTAAGACTGCAAAAGAAGTGCGAAACAGTTGCAGGAGGAGCTTCAATGAAGCGATAAGGTACGTGTCGTTAAACTTCAATCTCTAAGAAGAGATTTTGAACTATTGAAGATGAAGATTGTTAAGTTTTGGTTTGTTGACTGCATTTTGTTAAAATAACTAAGTCAACAAGATGTTGTGACATGTTTGTACGACACCATAGCCTGTATTATTTCTATTTTTTAGAAGATTTATTTCTCGTGCTTCAGAAGATTTATTTGGTGTTTCGTATGGAACAAGCTACGCATATGGAGATTTGATTCACTAGAGATTTGTTTCAAGCAACAAATATTTGAAGATTTCATTCTCAAGATTGGATGTCAAAACATTAATGGAAACATTATTTTCTGCATCATAAGATTTGATTTAATTTGTTTTGCAGATTATTTTATTTAGCCATATTTAACATCAAAGCCCAGGCGCTGCTATGGCTATAAAAGAAAAACTCTAAAACCTAAGCAAATTGACAGATGCAAGTGTGAGTTTGTCCGTTATGGTTTAGTTTGTTCATTGTTCATTGTGAGTCACTCTTGTATCACTTTGATGTTTGAGTTGGAATGAGTTTGGGTTGTAATTCATGAATCACTCATAAGCTTTTAAGCAAGAGTGAGTTATGTTTAATTAAAAGTGTGTCTTATGTCTATTGTCATTGTTGTTATTATCATTGTTGTGTGATTGAGGGAAAGTGAGAGGGATCTCATATCTAGGAGTTCTTAGATAGAAATAGCACGGGTAGTGATTAGTTGTGAAGTTTGTAAAACCTGATGTTGTTGAAAACTTCAAACTAATACTATTATAATAGATTTCCTTCCTGGCTTGGATGCCCCCAGATGTAGGTGACGTTGCACCAAACTGAGTTAACAACTGAATCTTATTATTTACTTTTTGCATCTTCCTTTAAATTATTCATTGTTACTTTTGTTGTTACGATGTCTTAACATTACGCTTGACATCGCGTTTCTGGTGTCGTGACATCGTATACGACATTTATCTTATTGTGCCATAATTTCAATTGGCATCAGAGCAGACACTCTGTTCTATTTTTGGGTGAGCTCTAGGAAAGATGTTTTCTAGCATTATGGAAAATAAATGAGTAAATACTAATATACCACCTACTTTGGATGACACCAATTATGACTACTGGAAAGCATGTATGGTGGCCTTTCTAAAATCTAAGGATAGAAAAACTTGGAAAGTTGACATCAAGGGATGGAAATATCCTGTGTTGACAGACAAAGATGTGAAAGATACCACTAAGTTAAAACCAAAAGAGGATTGGTCTAAGGAAGAAGATGAACTTGCTCTTGGTAACTCCAAAGCTTTGAATGCATTGTTTCAAGGTGTTGATAAAAATATATTCAGATTGATAAATACTTGTACGATGGCCAAATATGCATGGGAAATTCTCATAACCACTCATGAAGGCACATCAAAAACTAAAATATCAAGACTTCATCTTCTCACCACCAAATTTGAGAATCTCAGGATGAAGGATGATGAGTGCATTCATGACTTTCACGTGAGTATTCTTGATATTTCCAATTCAACTAGTGCTTTGGGAGAGAAGATGTTAGAAGAGAAGTTGTTTAGAAAAATTCTCAGGTCCTTGCCTAAGAAGTTTGACATGAAGGTCACATCTATTGAAGAAGTCAAAGATATTTGCAACATGAAAGTGGAAGAGCTGATTGGGTCACTCTAAACTTTTGAACTGGTTGTGAATGATAGATCAGAAAAGAAGAACAAAAGTATAGCTTTTATCTCCAACAATGATGATAATGAAGATCAATATGGTATGGAGAATGATGAGGGTATTTCTATTTTTATTGTGCTTATTGGAAGGCAATTCAATAGGGTACTGAAGAGAATGGATAGGAAGTTAAGACCAAATTCAAGAACATGTCATTCAACATCGTAAGAAAATTGAGTTTCAGAGAAAGACAAAAGTAAAGGAGAACCTTAACCAAGGTAAAGGGATTCAATGTCATGAATGTGAATGTTTTAGTCACATTAGGTCAGAATGACCCACTTACCTCAAGAAACAACAAAAGGGGTTTTCTCTGTCTTCGTCTAATGATGATGAATCTGAAGATGAACCTGAAGTTGGGACTGGTAAACATGTTACTACTCTCACTGGAAGATAGGGGTCTAATGAATAATCTTGTTATGAGAATGTACTTTTTGAAGAATTGGATGTGTCTTACAAGGAGTCATGTGTCATATGTGAAGAAATTTGTAAGTCAAAAGAAAAATAGAAGAGAATCATAGCTTAAATGGAGAATGAAAATGAGAAACTAGTATCTACTACCTCTAATCTTCAAAATAGGTAACTTTGTTAAATTTCAAACTCGACAACATGACCAAATCCATAAGAAGGATGAAAAATGGAATTGATATGTTAGAAGGGGCTGGAAACTCAACAAATATAAGGTTTAATTACAAATCTCCTAATAAAAAAGTCCCTAGGTTCATCCTCTCTGTAAGGAAGAAAGTGATCACCACGTCTGACCAAATGTTATAATATACTGACATACATCTAAAAACTCAATCTAAAGCAAAGTTATTACCTTGGAAACATCATTACTATGGCGGTATGGTCACATAAAGCCTTTTTGTTACAGACTGTATAGGGTTCAAAAACTTCCAAGTTATTCTACGACTAATCATATAAGGATGAAAATTAGTAAGAAGAGGAAATCTAAGGTTGGAGATGTTAATCTTATAGCCCACATTTCTTTTAGAGCTTTATCTAGAGAAGATTGGTACTTTGACAGTGAATGTTCTAGACATATGACAAGAGTTCAGAAAGATCATCCAAAGGAAATCATTATAGGGAATCTTGATGAAGGGGTCACCACTAGGTACAAAGATATGATATTCAGTTCTTGTTTTGTCTCTAAACTTGAACCTAAAAATGTGAAGAAGGCATTGATTGATGAATTTTGGATTAATGATATGCAATAAGAACTAGGCCAGTTCAAAAGAAATGAAATATGGGACTTAGTATCCAGGCCTGAAGGAATGAATGTTGTTGGTACAAAATGGATTTATAAGAACAAATCTGATGAAAAAGTATTGTGACCAGAAACAAGGCCAGGCTTATAGCTCAAGGATACACTCAAGTAGAAGGAGTTGATTATGGTGAGACTTTTGCTCATGTAGCTCGTCTTGAATCCATAAGATTTCTCTTGGGAGTGGCTTGCATGCTAAAATTCAAGTTATTTCAAATGGATGTGAAAAATGTCTTTTTGAATGTATACTTAAATGAAGAAGTATATGTTGAACAACCCAAATGATTCATAGATCCTAGCTTTCCATATCATGTTTATAAACTGAGGAAATATCTGTATGGTCTGAAGCAAGCACTTATGACATGGTATGAAAGGTTAAATGAGTTTCTTGTTAGCAATGGCTATAGAAAAGGAGCAACAGGGAAAACCTTGTTTGTTAAGAAAGAAGATGGTAAACTCATGATAGGTCAGATATATGTTGATGACATTGTGTTAGGAGGAATGTCAAACTAGATGGTTCAACATTTTGTCAAACAAATGCAATATGGATTTGAGATGAGTCTTGTTGGTGAATTAAATCATTTTCTTGGTCTTCAAGTTAAAAAAATGGATGATGATATCTTCATATCTCGAAGAAAGTATGCCAAGAATATAGTGAAGAAGTTTGGCCTGAAAAATTCCAGTCACAAAAGAAAACATGCACCAACTCACTTAAAATTATCTAAAGATGAAAAATGTGTTAATCTTGATCAAAAGCTATACAGAAGTTTGATTGGTATCCTATTGTACCTTACAACCAGCAGACCGGACAATTTTTTATTGTAGCAGTTTGTGAAAGATATCAGGTTGAACCTAAAATGAGCCACATTACTCAACTGAAAAGGATCTTGAAATACA